TTTCATATGTTGCTACTTGGTTTTTCAATCGAAATTAGACTGCAATATACAGAATTCTATTGCAAAGTTTTTCTGGAGCAGTGACGATAAAAAGGTGAGTCCATTTGTTAATTTATATTATATTTCATCAGTATTGTAATTTAATTATTAAGGAATTACCTATCTAGATATTGTAGTGGTATCCAAGATATCCAATTTTCTGACAGTCCGTAAAAACTGCTAGAATTAAAAGTTTAAAATTTCACATTTACGACTACTTAATTTTAGTCGTGAATTTACTTTTCAAGTATCCAATTGTATATACCTAAAATTAAATTAGCACGAAAATTCGACATACTCAAAATGGATATGTCGAGACATTGACCTATATTAAACAGTAAGGACGGTTAATATAGAACATACAAGAGATATTAATATCTACAATATCCTGTAGATAGAACAGACATAGAACCTTTGGAGGACCATTGGGATGTAATCGGGCGAAATTAAATATGCTATCTACATAGATATTTGAACCAATTGAAAAAAAAAACCCAAACACATAACATTCTGAAATCAATGAAAAATTGCATGTCAAACGGGCTGACTTGGATTCTTTGGTGTACCATTTGTATGAAATCGAGTAAAGTTATGTATGGGATCTATATATGAACACATGGACCTAATTGAGCAATCTTTGCATACGCCATTTGTTTTTTGTTATCACTCTATATTGAATATAATACCCTCTGCCAAATTTCGTGTAAATCGAACAAACATAGGCCCTTCGGTGCACCATCTAAATCTGAACCGATTTTAACAACACTTTGCAGACATCAATTTGGACCTAATTCAGTACTCTGTGCAAAATGTTGTCCCGATCGGACATATATTGGGAGTTTGGTGCATCATTTACATAAAACCGGCGAAAGTATGTATCGGAGTTATATCTAAATCTGAACCGATTTTCTCCAATTTCTATAGGGCGCATCTTTGGGCCAAATAAGTGAACTGCGCCAAATTTCATCCAAATCGGCTGATACATGCGACCTGTACTTTGTTCACAAACAAATATAGACGGACATGCGTAATTCGACTCAGACAGTGATTCTATGCATATTCTCACAAGGAATCATGCGTCTATCTCGATTCCTTTTGTCTGTTACAAACATATGCACAAAGACATAATATCCTGTACCACAGTGTGGTGAAGGGTTTAAAAAGTTTCTGTGAACATCTGGTTTACCCACCAAAAACATAGCCACATTGGTTGGAAATTCGCCTTGGGACCATCAAAGCGAGACGAGACCTTTAGAAGGATTCTATACCACCTAAACAAAGATATCGATAATTTATGAAGGAAATGATAACCCAAAAAACACATTTTATAAATTCTTTAATTACTTCTACTGAGGCGGGACTTTTATAGGGGGTTTTAACTACATAGGGAATAATATTCGCCCAATAGAACACAAAAAAATAAAATTGGAGCCACATCGGTTGGGAAACGAGTCTGACTTTATTGAAATACCATAATTCGGGGTACCGTTATATGGGGTCTACAGTAAAAAGTTAACAAATAACAAACATCCTATTGAGCGTATATACACTTTGATACGGCAAAATTTGCCTTATCGAAATATTGGTATTATTATTGGTATTGGCATATCCGTCCGTTCGTCTGTCTGACTGACTGTTACGCACGATAACTGTCGAAGGAAGTTACCGATTTCATACAAGCTTTGCACATTGTAATATTTCTTCCAAATTGAAATCAAGGTTGAAGATGGGGAATATCGGTCCATTCCTTCGGTAACTTCCAAAACAATGTGGTCAACATTTTGCTGAAAATTAATTTTGCAACAAACTTTGCACAACCTAATAGTTTTTTACCAAGCCTGTATATTGTTGGAAGGTAGTACCTCCCCAAAAAAATTTCCATTTTAATAAATTCAATATTAAGCGAATGCAATTTCCAATTTGACCAAAATTCTACACATCGTAATACTTTTACCAAACTTAGATCATGTCCGAAGATGGAACCCATCGATCCACACCTTCTGGTACCTCCCCTACAAATATTCAATATCTTAATCATTTGTGAATGCAATATCAAACGACTGGAATGTCGAATTTGATCCAAACATTGCTCATCAGAATATTTACCCTGGCTAGAAGTCCAAAGACTGGTAACTCCCCCACCAAGTGTTAAAATTTTGAAAATTTGTTAATTCCATATCAAAAGAATTAAGTGTCCGATTTGGTCCAAACTTTGTAAATCGTAATACTTTTACCGAATCTAGATGATGTCCGAAGATGAAATCCATCGATCCACTACTTCTACTCCCACAAACATTGAAACATACATTTCTATACATTATATAAATCGAATAATAAAACCCGTGTGTAGTAAATCCGTAAACATCCCCAAACCATAGGCTTGGGGTATACATCTGTCGGCAACACCGACTGGCTTTTTTTTTAGCTTGTTTATAACACGGCACTCCATAGACTTTGCATTAAATTACTAATAGCATGCATTTTGTATGTATGTGTGTATGCCTACGTAAATGCGACAATTGACGAACCGCTTTTTTAATTGCAATTTTATAAAATTTTAATATTATCTTCATCAATGTGGTGGTCCAAATGGGTTCTGTAAAAGAGTCGTTCAAGTCAGCACTACACCAGTACCCTTATAGAACAGTCGTGTTGTATCTGCCATGACTTGGTAACTGACCGGCTGCCTGCCTGCCCTATCTAGCTGGCTGTTTGGCCAACAAGGTTTCTCTCTCTCTCCACATCTCTCATTGTCGCTTGTGCGCTCTACAGCTCTACTGTATATGATTTATTTTGTGGACGCAGCTTGGTGAGACAAATTGTTGATGGCATATTTTAGTCGTGTTCAATCTTTTTCTCGTTAACAACGTCCTGCACGCTTGTCGTACTTCCAATCGAGAAAACAAAATTTCTGCTCTCCTGTTGTGTGTATACAAGCTTGATTCAAAATTGAGACCAAAAAGAAAATTGGTTCCAAACATCGGTTTGGGAAAAAGGTGAGTGTATGACATCGTGTGTTTGATTTGGTTTTCCTATACTTGGCATATGGTCAAATGAAGAATTTCTATTGAAAAATAATCATATACATATGTATATCTTCAATTATAATTGTATCCACATATGAATTTTAACATCTTCATATCAAAAGTTTGTTGTTCCAAACCCCTCCTTTTTCAACTCCACATAATAAAAAACAACAACAAAATGCAACGCATTTACGACAAGTCTGAATTTGACAAGACAAAACATCATCCGCCCTCTCAAGCCACCTCCCCCTCGCCCATTCATTCCCATGCCTTAACCAAACAAGCAAAGCGAACCTAGAGTACAATGTTCTTCGTGTTCGGGTCCAACAAATATATAAGAAATTCTCATTTAGCTTATTCTCCGGACAGCAGGTTTGGGGGTTTGCCTTTGTTTTGGGCTGGCTGTCTCTCTCGTTCGCTTGCTTGCTCTATTGGTGTGCGTTCGAATATACTCTCAGCTCCCTTGTTGTTACCTTCACCTCATTGTGACCCACACGTACTGTATGTACGACGAGGAATGTATAGATGTATATGCGTACGTTCAATTTTATATCAATGGAGGGATAGACAAGTGTTCCGATGTGTCGTCGGCATCAAAAAAATGCAAGTAGAAATTTTAAATGCATTTTTTTGTGTTGCTGTGCCGCCGACCAAGTTTTGTATCTGATATTTCCACAGTTTCTTGTCGCACCTATTTGTCAGAGATGGAATTGTATTTTCTTTGGTATGCAGATCCAAGGGGATTAGCATCAAATATAGTAACCTATATAAAATATTGAAGAAAGGTCCAAGCTTTTATATGCAGGCATCTCAAACCTTGGGCGTTTCATATCGAAGTTCTAAAAGTGTCGTAATGTTGGGTAGGCATGTTGATTATGTTGAGAAATACAAAATTACAGACTCACAGGTTAGAAAACTAGGGTAGGATCTGATAAAATGATTGAAATTGGAAAGCATGGACTCATATTAAACATTTTCGGGAAATAAATTTCCATTCCATTAAAAATTGTTAAATTACTAGACCTTGAAAAAATATTCTTTAACAAGTCCATGCCTTGCCTATTCTAGACCTTGAAAAATATTCTTTAACAAGTTCACGCCTTGTTGTACCCTTGAAAAAATATTCTTTAATAAATCCTTGCCTATTCTAGACCTTGAAAAATATTCTTTAATAAATTCACGCCTATTCTAGACCTTGAAAAAATATTCTTTAACAAGTCCACGCCTAGTTGTACCCTTGAAAAAATATTCTTTAATAAATCCTTGCCTCAGTTGGCCCTTGAAAAATATTCTTTAATAAATCCACGCCTCAGTTGGCCCTTGAAAAATATTCTTTAATAAATCCTCGCCTCAGTTGGACCTTGAAAAATATTCTTTAATGAATTCACGCCTATTCTAGACCTTAAAAAAATATTCTTTAACGCCTAGTTGTACCCTTGAAAAAATATTTAAAAAAAAACACGACTTGTATCCTTGAAAAAATATTCTTTAAAAATGCACGCCTTGTTGTACCCTTGAAAAAATATTTTTCAATAAATCCTTGCTTACTCTAGATCATGAAAAAATATTCTTTAAAAAAAATATTCTTTAAAACTGGAAAACCTGTTACCATATGCTCTTCATTTATTTTTTCAAGATCTGCTAGAAATCCACAAATTTGTATACCTCGCGTCGCTAGGTATGTATTTTCTAGAGCCTTTGTAGTTCGAGTTGCTCGAGTTTGGAACAGTCTGCCTCATGCATTCAAATAATGTATTTCGCCTAAAATTAATGGCGTTTCCTGCCTGATCTATTTTGATTTTAGTTATCATATCGCTTCTGCCAATTTGACCATTTAATTATCCAATTTAATGTATTTATTATAATCTTAAAAAAAGTCCTTGCAAAACAAATGTATTGAAATTTTTTCATTTTTTTCATTGGTCTACCAACAGCTCTGCCAATATGTCATACAACGACAAATGCTCAAGGATAAACCCCGCAAAATACTCAATTTGGAGGAACGAGTGCAGGCGATTCGCATGTACGATGAATTGCCCGTCTATCAGCGAGTGGCCTCGGCCTTCAAATGCAGTTGGGAACAAATCAAAAATATTGTCGCCAACCGCAAACAAATTCTCAAGTACTATGCCAGCTGTCAAATAATTGATGTCATGAAAGACGATTCCAAAGTGGTGCGTCACAAGAAAATCAACTTCCTCGGTAATTGTATGTACGAGTACATTAAACGAGCCCATTATCATAATTTACAACAAATAACCGATGATGTGATTCGTGATCGTGCAATGGAATTTAAAGAAATGATCAACATTGAAAAGTTCTTTCCCAATCGGGCGTGGATACGTGATTTCAAGTCGGTCTTCAATATTGATTTGGAACACATGAATCAAATAATTGTCTCGAGAAAACCACAAAAGTCACTCAACTGTAAGGACATAATAACCTATTGTGCTAAGGAGGTAGATCATGCCCTGTCCTCACAGCCGGGCAGCACAAAAAATCAAATGCTACCCGATTCTAGCGGTGGTAATAGTATGGAATTGGGTGAGGAAGCCGGTGAACATTTACTGAGACATCCGATATTTGATAGTGCGGACAGTGGCGAAGAACAGCCGCATTATGATGAGGATATGTTCAATGAACACGAAGAGGTGGGGCCCACAATTAATTTTGGTGATTATCAAGTTGAAGAAATTGCCGAAGATGGACAACAACAAGACGATATTAAACCCGATGTGAGTATATTGGAGAGTATGCTTAAGGGCCACATGCCACCATCATCAAGACAAACACCTACTGACCTGAAGATAAAGGAAGAAGACGTAGAGGAACCCCCAGAGCCGTATATTTGTAGGACAAGTTATGGAAATATGTCATCGACATCAGCAACCAGTGTAACAGATGAAGGAAGAGCACCACCAACAACAATAACCAGTTATGAAGAAGCTTTAGCTTTCTTGGAACCCTTAGAAGATTTTGCAATATTTGAAGAAGATTTTAAAGCCATCAATTTATTAACACAACTAGCCGAGGTGTTTGAGAAAAGAAAAAAACGTAGAATTCAAATACCAACAAACTCATCGTGAATTTAAATTTTAGTTTTAGAAAAAAATGAATATGTGATAAAATTAAAGAAAAAAATCTTCGAAAGAAATGTGGCTTTTTGTATTTTTGGTTTACAAATCTATTCGATTCATATTATACAATTTTGAGATTTGAATGTGTAAATTCAAATTTGTTGGGGAATTCACATTTCCGTATTTTTTTTTATAAAAAAGGGGTTTGTTTTTTCAAAAGTTGTAAAAAATATATATTAAAATTTTTTAATTTATTTTTTGTTTTGTTCAAAAAAGTGCAAGATTGTTCTAATTATTGAAATCTTTTTCAATTTTTCTTGTAATATTTAAAAGTTTTACCAGCTTTTGAGTACGGGAACAGACAATTTGTTGTATATTTAGAAAAAAGATGCGATAAATGAAAGCCAGAGAGAAAATAAGTCATAATGCTTCAAGTGCAATGAAAAAAAACAACGAACGAGAAAGATGGCGATGCTTTGTGGTAGGACAATGCTTCCAAGAGTAACAGCGGAAAAACGAAAAAAATTCGCTTAGTCATCCATTTTGTTAATAAAAAATACAAATGTCGACAAGTTCTAAACAAAATCTGAGAATTCAATTTCTGGAAAAAAATATATACATAAACAAATTACACTATATACTATAACATCATATATCTTGAGAAATGTTAAATTTTGCGGATCACTCTACACTTGCAATTCTTCGCTGAGATTATCATTGTTGGGTTTAAGGCAAACTTTTAAAGCTTCCGTCTCTTCTTCCAAATGATCGAGTTTTTTCATTAAAATTATCTAAAATAAAAACATTAAAAATTAAATACATGAAATTAAAAAAAAGAAAAAAAAAACTATAAATAATTTTATTTTTTCACATACCTTGGCTGCTGATATAATTTCTTTGGCTATTCTTAATGGCATGTGTTCCACAGATTTTACCAATTGCATTGGCCGACATTTGGCTATATCCTCAATTGTTTTATAGCCGGCCGAATATAATTGTTTGGCTCGATTCTAAAATAAAAAATGGTGGCAATTGCAAATTAACAAGTAACTTCGAGTTATGGAAAAGAGATATTTCCACCGAAATTCATATTTACCATTTTCACAGCTGGCAATTCCAACAGCGGTTCTAATTCCACCGTGCCACACCGATCCATTTTCTTGCCAACACGTTCAAAGAGACTTTTAAAACACCAAAATTCCTCTACCTGATCACACAGACGTACAATAGCACTGGCTGCTGCTGTTGCTTGACTTGTCAAATTCTGTAGCATACCACGTTCAATATTATATTTGGTCGCAACACTAGGTATGGGCATTAAATTAAGCAGATCCACAAGTATCAAAACCTTATAGAGACGATTTAATTTCAATTCCATTGGGCCTTGTATGGACATGGTTTTGGCCATTTTTGCCGCATGGGCCTCAGTGAAACCCAATTGCTTGAATAGACGTTGTGTGGGTTCCTCCAATTTTTCATAGCAATGAAATAGTATTGTTGGATCCGCCGGAAACAGTTCGTCACCATGGGCATTGGAATTGAAACATACCACCAAATACAGAATGTGGGCATAATTTGTTAGAATCAATTGCTTTTGGGCTGTGGCCAGCTCATTGTGTATGGCATAGGCTCGTTTATAGTCAATGCCAGCCTTAAAAGCTGCCTTACCAATTGTAGTCAATTGGAAACGGGTAGTGTTGTGCAACTTTATTGTACGTTCGGGCAATTGATGATTATTGGTTTTGTTGGCCAAATCCTGGGTTATCAATATGTCCGAAATATCCTTTTTGGCATCGTTGTTGGCCAATTTTAAAACTTTATTTTTAAACATTTCACAAAGTATTTCCTTGACCATTGTGGTAACTGAAACGCCCAATTGGCTGGCCTGCACCGCCAACAGAGTGCTCTGGACTAAACGATGCAAATCCGCGCGACATGAAGCCATTCCCATGCCAATTGCACTTAAAATAAGAGACTATAAATGGTATGGCAATGGCCAGGAATTTATTCCATTTCAAAATACTACCTGTAATCCAATTTTGCCATCATAATCCAATGAACTTATAGCCTTGTCCATTGGGGAGAAGAGCATTTCACCAACTCGGACATTATCACGACTCGAACTTATGAGAATACTTTCGCCAGCCTCACCCATACCGGCACGGCCAGCGCGTCCAATCATTTGTTTATATTTACAAAGTGTCATAAATTCGGCACCCACATAGGGTGCTCTTATTATCACCCTTTTGGCTGGTAAATTTACACCGGCTGCCAAGGTTGAGGTGCAGCAGATTACACTTAAAACACCGAAACGATAAGCTGCCTCGATAAATTTTCGTTCGTCGGTTGTGAGGCCCGAATGATGATAAGCCACACCATATGGTATGGTACGTGCCAATACCGGACTCAAAATGCCACAGACTTTATCGAGAGCATCCATCAAATCCGCCTTCTCACTTTTACGATATTCCAGGAATTTGCTTCTAAAATTGAAAACAAACATAAAAACGCTGAAATTGATCTTTTGATTCGTGGATTTATCTAGAAAATATATACTGTCACCATAAAGTAATTCAGTTGTATAAAAGGCCATTAATGTGAAACAGTACTGAAGAAGGTGTCCTGTGTTCATAAATACTCACAGAAAGTCTTCTATGCCTAGGAGATAACCACGAAATCTCTATGGAAAGCTTTATGAAGCTCTTGTATCCCTTGACATGACAATTTTTCCATTTTATCAGAAAAAAAAATAGAAAACTTACTTGGGCAAAACACGACTCAACAGTACAGCAACATTTTCACAATTTTTACGTGATGAACAAAAAATGAGACAACCATTTTTCGGAGCACATTCTGTTACCAAACCAGCTAAATGATCTGGATCCGAACGTAACACAGCTTCGCTATACTGTAAATGAATATATATTACCAACAAATAAAATGCAATCGTAAATTGTGTCATCATAAAATACTCACATTAAAATTAACACTACGACTAAATACGAAAATTTCCTCTAATGTTTGTCCTTGTAAATTTATTTGTAATATATCACGGCCACATTTTATGTATTCCTTTAATTCGACCGGACGAAAACCGCGTGTATAAACATCGGCATTTAAAAACTGTGATATTTCCGACAGATTTCCAATGGTGGCACTCATGCCAACAATTTGTATTTTTGCTAAATTGGTTTATGGACTTCGTTTTTACATCAAAGATTACTACAATTCTAAGTAGAAAAATACCCACCATTTAAATACATAACTTTCGTGAGTAAAGCTTCCAAATAGGCACCCCTACCCCGTTCGCCAATCAAATGTAATTCATCTACAACCACTAGTCCAATTTCATTGGCTCTTTCGGCTTCAATTAGACTATCAAACAACACCGCACCCTTTTCAATTGAAGCAATAAAAATACTTTTTCGTTTCTTTCTAGGCACTGGCGGACATTTGCCCTTGCCGGCTGTATATTCTTCCACTATGAAATCTAAGGCAATGGCAAAGGGTGACATTGCACTAACCTGAAAAAGAAAAGATGGAAAATATTTATAATTTTTGAAAAAACATCGGACTTACCTTTTCCTGAACTATGGACACATAGGGCAATATAAATAGGACATTCTTTTCTCGGCATATTACCTCGCGTAACATTAAAATTTCAGCTACTAAAGTTTTACCACCACTTGTAGGCAAGGCATAAATAAGATTTTTACGTTGTCGTATGGCTGGTAAATTGAGGCATTCATCTTGCCATTCTGAAAATGCATAAAAACGTAGATTTATACAAGTTGATTTCAAACTCCATTACAAGGATTTTTAGGATTAATTTGGATTACAAAGACATTTGATATGTGTTAATTGGTTGTATACAGCTTCCAATACTGAAATACTCACCATACAAACTCTTTATATTCTTAGTTTCAAAAATCATACGTTTAACTCTATCTGGAAGTCCATAAAAATCGCCCTTACAGGGAAAATCCTCTTTGGGCTCCTCTTCATTGAAGTCATCAGCATTCCAACTAATATTCGAAAGATTTTCTATTTCCCTGTTAATGTGTGTCTGTTGCAATGGATTTACGGTACGATTTTGGATTTCTTTCCGAGTTTCATATTGTGTACCCGCTACATAACAATCCACATTTCGTTGAGTTTTATTAATTGGTTGCTGGCCATTGCCCCCACCATCCGGAGGTTTGGGTATTTTGAATGCAACATCTGCTAAGAATTTTTGTGTTCCCTGCATCAGCATTTCATCGAGGGGAAAATCATCATCATTAAAAAGATCCGGTTCTTCCATAGTTTTCGAAGTTGTCTGGGTTGTGGTTTCCTTTTTACAATTGTCATCGGCCACCAACTGATCCACATCGATTTCCGAGAACAGTGTATCATCACCCAAAATGCCAGCATCGGATGTTGGTAAAACGGGATCTATGGGAGTGCCACCCACATTACTGTGTACACCTTCGGATTCCTGTGGCAATACAATGTCACTGAATAGGCTATCATCATTGTCATTGTGAAAGAAGCTATTGCCTTTAGCATTCGTGGATTTTTTGTTCGCATGTCCCTGATGGGACTTGAGAATAGTATCCAATTTTACATCTGAGAAAAAGCTGTCATCCGTTTCTGGCCAAAGGACAGATTCACTGGGTTCTATTATGGTACGGTCACATCTTCTTTGACGTTTTATTTGTTGTTCTTCACTTGAACCATTTGAATTTTCGCGGGCTCTGATATTTCGGGAATTTCGAGACATATCAAAACGAATGGGTATTTAACAAAACATCTGTAATGCCATTCAAAATCAAAACAAATTAAGGCGCCAAAATTTGTAAACAAACCTCTATTAACAGCTGATTTAGGTTTCGTGCTCTCTCTCTCTTATCTTTGAGAGAGGGTGAATTACAAACAAAACCATGATTGCCAGATTTATTGTGTTTGGAATTTTATTTATATTTGAACACTTTGTATTTATAAATAAAGGTTTAAATAAAATCAATTATATAATAAAATGGCAAGAGCTGCTCTTCTGCATCAACGAAATACAAATAACGTCAATGGATTTTTAATACTACTGGATATAAATAATTTTAAGAGTGCAACCGGCTGATTGACATACTTTCCCAAAAATGTTGCTGCATATTCCATAAGGGTGGCAATATCTTCTGTTTTTATTTATTTCTAAACAAAACATTTGCATTGTTTTCGATACTTAAAGATAAATTCTTCAATACTTAATAAAATAAAATACATGCACGTTTTCAATGGAATCTCTATAAATGTTGATTTGTTATTGTGCACTGACAAAAAGTTTCATTGAATATGACCACCCAAAGATATTCATCCTGGGTTCTGGAACGCAGCTCTATTGGAGAATGTCATCGCTTGAGATTGGGTTTGAATAGTGTGGGACGCCATTCATCTTCACTTATACGAATATTGGATTCCCATTATGTTTCCCGACATCATGCTGAAGTTGAAGTTTCCCAGGATGATCAATCGGTTACTATTAAGGATTTGGTATGTATTTAGTTATTGTTGTTCGCCAATGCATAACTAATATTCTTTGTTAATGTTCGGTGTGTGATGAAATCAACAAATATGCCCACATTGCAATTTTGTGCACTACAGTTTTTTGCACTATTGGTGATAAGAAACAGGAAGCTGGGTAGAAAAAGGAAGAACTGCAGAGTATTTTGATATAACAAATTTGTTATTAATGAATACCAATATTGCCTCCATTTATTATTTTTGCATGATTGCAACATCAAGTTGCCTCTGTACGCCATCTCAAGAATGACTCATTTCTAGTTTATTTGTTCAAAAATCAATGTAAACAGATATGGTCAAAATGATCAGGATTTTTTTTTTGTTTTGCAGTGATTCTCTGCCCAACGTAGGTTGAACAGAAAATAGTCGTATAACAACATAAGGAGGACAATTTCCCAAGAACAGGAGTCTGAGTAGCATCGGGATATACTATTCATTTTATGTTACTTTTTGATTTTGATTCATTCTGATCTATTTGAAGATGTAACAACCTGTTCCAGATTCACTTTCATGTAGTGTCGTCGAGGTAGTGGCTTCTAGTCCATTATCAACTCAATTACTCTATGGAAGTGTCGTCATGTAGTGTCGTCGAGGTAGTGGCTTCTAGTCCACTATAAACCCAATTACTCTATGGAAGATCCACTTAGTAAAATGTGTATTGATTTCAATTCTGTTTACTCAAATGTAGATTTTGTATTTTTAAATGAGTAGTACAACTTAATATATAACTGGCTGTTGAAGAAGATTCGGTAGAAGTATTCTATTCTCTCTCAGCCCCTAAAATGTTCGCTATATTGATTTCAATTCTGTTTACTCAAATGTAGATTTTGTATTTTTAAATGAGTAGTACAACTTAATATATAACTGGCTGTTGAAGAAGATTCGGTAGCTAGTATTCTATTCTCTCTCAGCCCCTCGGACGTATACGTTCGAAAAAAAAAACGATAAGAAGGTGGCACGTTAAAATGAAACAAAGAAATCGACATCGACGTCACGACATCGGCAACATTTTAAATACCCAAAATTCCAGTCAATACTCACAATAAAATTTTTAACAAATTTCAAAACCAGATAATTTACTACTAAAGAGACCTGATCACGTGACGAAATCACTTACACCGAATAGACAACTGTTACCTCAGGGTCCAATAACATTTTCTATACTTATACTACGATATAGAACGAAAAACAAAAGTTAAGATTACGGATCATAATAGATGTGAATTTTTGGCACAAAAAGACAAGGAGGAGGTACGTAGAAATTAAACAAAGAAATTGACACGATCATCCTTGAAATCGGCAACATTTAAAAGGTCAGAAAAAAAATCTGGCCAACACTTATCCTGAAATTTCAAATAAAATAACCGTTAAACGTTCCAACAGCTAACAACAAAGGAACCTCAACAAGTATGGATTGTATTGAAATTTATCAGTAGATTATACTCTACGAAAAAATTAATGCCTCATATTTATATATTATGTCTGGCACTATAGAACGGGTTTCTTCAAAATTTGTTAGTTTTAAGTTATAATTTACTACTTAGAAATTTAATAAATATCTCCTAAAGAATTTCATACCAAAAAGACTACTGTCAACAAATTTTCATAAATGTTAATTAGAGGGTTTTCTTCTGTTATTCGTTTCTTACAAATGAATCCTTGTGATTGAAGATTAATGTGGGAACAATTTATTCCATACGACCAGACATAGCAAGTCCTTCCATAAAATAGAGTCTTTATTGAATTTGTTATTCCCTTAGAAACACAACTTGACAAAATAAAATTTGATGTTAATTTAGTCGTGTCCGTCTCTATTTTGAAATCAAGATGGAGATGGCAATATAATGGATACACCTTTGAAATTTTGCCTACACATTGTTATTACTCCTGGGATCCTTGGTATAGGAAAATAATTTTCAATGGCATTCTTTATAGTATACAATAGATTGATGTGGACACCAATTCGGTATTTGAAATTTCTGTAACAAATTATGTAAATTAAGTTTTTATTTCACTGTTTATGTAAAAAATAAATTTTAATATATGCATTAAGTATAAACATTTCTCTTTTCCTCTTCTTCTAGAATTCTGTGAATGGCATATTCGTTAATGACGTACTGCATAAAAGTTCAACGATCACACTCAATAAAGGCGATTCTATTGGGATTGGTGTTTCCATACAATGTTCAGAGGAAGATGAATTAACATTACCTATATATGAATTAAAATATATGCCAATCACAAGAGCAAGGGCTCCTAATTCTAATACTGCACAAACTTCTAAATCTAATAGTAATACAAACAGTAACAATAATAAACCATCAACCAGTGCAAATGTCGAAAGTAAAATAAATAGTAAACCTGTCGTAGAGGAGGCAATTTTAATAATTAGTGATGATGAAGATAATCCGACAAATAGTAAACCTAAAAAACCGGAAAATAATGAAAACTCCAAACAGGAAGATCAAACGCAAAACAAAGAAGAACTGCCACTGGCAAATAATCTTGGATCGAATATCAAAGAAAATTCAGTTAAAAAAGAATGCAATGAAGATTGCGCATCATTGAAAGCATTGTCCACCATTGATAATAAAGTCAACTCGTTAACAAATGAAAAGGAAGAAAACAACCAGAAGGTAACTAAAAAGGAATGTGAATTACAGACAAATCAAAAAATAGTTAGCGAAAAAGAAAATACCACAAATACCTCTAGAGAGGATGTATCTCAACCAACAGAAGATAACAGTAATAATAAAATTCACATACCCATTATACCAAGTATTAAACAAGAACATATACACTCGGTATCGGCCGATGTAAAGGATATTTTTGGCGAATTGGATGACGAACAGAAAAATACTCTAAAAGAAATTAATCCATTGGTTTATAACGATCTCAGCGGACGGCCTTTAATACCAACGGCAAATATTAATAATCCAATAGTCAACGGCGAGTGTATAACTTTACTCAGTGATGATGATACAGCTGGAGATGAAGAAGAATTGGGCATTATAACATCATCTACACCGCCAAAACACGATGATGATGGTGGGGGTGATGAAGGCAAGCCAACCACCGTTCAAAATCCTCCATTAGCAAAAAGTCCAAATATTTTTAATACTTCCTTAAATGATTCCTTTGAGGAGACTACCTCAACACAAAGAGCTTTGGAGGTAATTAAAAATCATTTGAATGCCCAAAAGACCAAGGAAAATTCAGCAGTGGTGGCCAGTAGCGACAATGTTGATTTGGAAGATTACACATCGTACGAACCACATTCCGATGATGAGGATATTGAAGAGTTTATGTTTTCTCAGGTCCTAATCAATGACATGAAGGCAGAGTTAAAAGACGATTTTGACAATGACTTAGAGGAGGATATAACATCCGCAGATAACACAAATGCTGGTGAGCTGTTACCTATAAAAATAAAGGAGGAACCCGACTTGGAAAGAAATGCGTCACTGTTAAATGAATTGGATAATTCATGCTGGGTTATAAGTGATGATGAGGACTATGACAAGGAATTGGAATCTAAGGTCTCCGATTGGTCCAACAAAATATTTTCGCAAAGTTTCAACTACAGCAATCAATCCCAGATCTATGATTTGGATGATAATCTGAGTGATGAAGAAGATATTGTAGACGAACAGGAATACGCAAATCGAGATGCGAATTCAAATATTAATGAAGAGGTGGATGAGGAAGAGGAATTGGGTTACATTGCTGATTTGTACAGCACCAATAACGATTTATCTTCTGCTGATCAACCGGATGTGGGTGGTATAAAAGTTAAGGAATGTTCGGTTAGCCTTACAAGATTAGATGATAATCGAAAAAATACCAGAGACAAAAGTCCAGACTCAAACACATTTCAAAATGCTGTTCCTGACAATGATTCACCGCTAGTACGGCCCAGAAGAAAAAGTCTAAGTAAATGTAAAGCAGTGCCTTCATCTTCTTCTTCGTCCGAAGATGAATTTGAAAAAACCAATGAAAAATCCAAGAAAACCGTAGAAAAAGCTACAGCCACGCCGGAGTTGGCAAACCACACGGCAGAGCATCCAAAAGAAAAGTCAATTACACGGCCACCACCAGCAATTATTTCAGCACCCTCTCTACCAAAACATAAAGGAAAACTTCGAGGAGTTTCTGCCGAAAAGTCTCCAATAATTTTGAAAAATAAAAAAATTCCTTCACTTTCGAAGAAACTGAATTCGATACGTGAACAACTACGTCATGATGAAATCAATAAAGTGTTGAAAAAGAAATGGTCGGAAAAGCCAAGTGTGTCCAAAAAACGAGACAAGGAACGTATAGAAATCATAAAGGAATGCCGAAAGGATAGATTGAAACAGCTTGCCGAAAAACACACCAGCCCAACTAAAGATAATCTGAAAAGAAAAAGTTCCACATCAAATGACCATTCCGATATTAGAACGAAAAAAGCAAAAGTTAAGATTACGGAGCATAATAGGGGTGCATTTTTGGCACAAGACGAGACGATGGAGTTGGCGCGTAAAAATGAAACAAAGAAATCATCCACATCATCATCCTCGTCGTCATCGACATCGGCTACATTTAAAATACCCAAAATTCCAGCCAATACACACAATGAATTTTCTAACAAAGAACCATTAAAACGTTCCAACAGTACGGAAACGCTAACGAAAAAAGATCCCATCAAACGTTCAACAAGCATGGATTGTGGTTTTACCACATTTTCTCAGGAAATTTCCAAACCAGATAATTTACTACTAAAGAAACCTGACCACGTGACGAAACCAATCATACCACCTAATAGGCGCCTGTCAACAACTGCTACCTCAGGATCCCATAATATTTCCGATGCTCCAAACACAACAGCTGCGGCAGCGAGTAAAGAAGCGACTTTACCAAATAGGCGACTCTCAACAACAACCTCGCCCAATGTTACACCCGATACACCCACAGCTGTGTGTAAAGAAGCATTGGCGGCCCGTGCCCTTCGAACAACCAATAAAATTACATTTGCCTCAATGGAAAAAAATATCATTGAATCGGAGAAGAATAAAACTAAACTTAACAACATATCGACACAACGTTGTACTGGTACTGTCCTGACATCAATACTTTCACCATCGAAAAGTGCAGCAAGTAAAAAGAAAACCGTTCGATTTAATGATATACCTACAATACACTATATTGAAAGGATTAGTGGAGCACGAAAAGTGGCCGCCAAGGATATTTTACCACTGACTACGCACAAGGACCGACGCCAATTAATAAGACGTACCTATCCAATTATTGATAACACCGATAAAATTATTTCACAAATTCTTGCATGGAGTGATGAATGGTTGGTGAAACGGAATGCCGCTGTAGAAGCAGCCAGTGATATTGTCTACCCCATGCCAATACAATTCAGTTCATTTGATCATTATAAAAGGTAAGTGAGGCGTGAAAAAACCACACCGACTGTATAATGAATGTTTATTATCTTTTGAAAGTCCATCTCAGGTGAACCATCTGTTGAGTTGAATTGTCGACTTCTCGTTTTAGAAATATGGATATGGATACAGTTTAAAACTGTCTCGTCTCCGATTTTTCACAAACAGTATGCGCATATTATTTGTGATATTAAGTTTTTTTATTTATTTTACAGTATTGTTTTCCCTCTTATGAAACTTGAATTTGTTAGTCTTTTGGAGCGGGAATATAATCTAACAAAAAATGTCAAAAAGTACAAAGTTGCATTGGAATATGTAACGACAAATGCCAATCGTTTGATGCTAGTCACGAAATGTAAATATATTTACCAAAAAGTAAAATGCAAAAATATGAACTCAATAATAATTCAATTCTTTTCTACATAGTTACCTATCAAAATCGCCAACAGCTGGACAGCAGTAAATATGATTTGGTTATATTGGAATCGAATAAAATGAATACAAATATGTTTGCATATTTGACATCGACGCGTAAAGGGGCTGGTAAGTTGTGGTAAAGCCCTTTTGTGTAATGATGACCAACAAGTATTATCTGTTCCAGGTACCTGTAATACAATGGTTTTTGAAATTGTACCCAAAAACATAACCAAAGATTTCTTTTGTGGCATACACGAATTGACGATACGACCCGTCATCGATAATGTTCGTGTTGAATTTGGTGCCTTCAATGCTGTCTATCAGCTGGAGGCAACACCATTATTCAAAAAAATCCTCGATCCCCTGGAAATGTTACAGAGTCGCCATCCTCCAAAAAAGAAAGTCATCTATCGTGGTTTTGACCCGTTAAACGATAAACAACGTCAGGTGTTATTGAATACCTATGTTCGGATCATTGATGAGACAACACCTAATGTATCACTGATACAAGGACCGCCGGGTACGGGCAAATCGTGTGTCATCACGAATTTAGCATTGCAAACGTTATATGGTGACGAGGTCAGGTGTATGGATAAGAAAATTTTGATATGTGCCCAAAGTAATGCAGCCGTTGATGTCATCGCTGGCAAATTGTATGATATTAGTATGAGAATGAGACCGGAAATTCGTTTTCGTCTTATACGTTATGGGCTGCAGGATAAAATAAATCGTTTGGTCTATCCGGTAACATTGCAAGCGATTATTGAACATGAACAAATGAAAAAAATGAAGGCAACTAATCCGGATATCCCGATGGAGAATAAGGAAAATTTAAAAAACCAAGTAAGTTTATGTGATGTGGTAGTAGTGTTGATAAAAAAGGGACATGACGCGGTAAAAAGGGGGAAAACTGTAGATGGATGTTCCTTTTTTTTTTGGATTTTTGTAATATGGCTGTGGCCAAAGTCTCAGCTAATGCTTGTCCACACACCTATAATTGCTTTCACGGCATACGCATGTTTTTGAGCAATCTTCGGAAGGGTGTAGATGGTTCGAATCGCTATGTAATTCCCTAGACCTGCGTAAACCATAGGCTGCTGGGATCCATCTGTCGATAATGTCGACTGACATGTTTTTCTTCTTTTGAAAAGTCGACGATACTTCCTGTTGTGGTTTTACGCGGGGTAAAATACGATTTGATTGATTCTATGTTGTGAATAAAAGACTTGTTTTATGATTTAACAAACTTAGCCAAATTTATTCTGGAAACTAAAATACGTTACAAAATGTTGATCGTACTACGACAGAACTGTAAGACAACTCGTACGCGAAGAGACTATGTGAGTGAATGATTGAATGAATAAAATGTGTTCTTGTATTCGTGTGTGACAAGAAGCAATCATGCCAGATCTATGCTGATTGGCAGGGTTCCTTTACCGGAACATCTGTTCAGCATGATAAACCTTTTTTTAAGTTTATAACTCTTCTTCATTTTCATCTACAGATTTTACAACTAGAAGCCCAGATAGCTGAGATGTCGAAACGCAATATAAAGGGTACTGTCGAAGAAGATATGCTGCTGGAGAAACAACGTAAGCTACAATTGATGCGAAATATATCGACACAATTTACAAGGCCCGAAGATGAACGGAGCATTGCCACATGGTTTTTAAATAATGCCAATATTGTGTGTGCCACACTTTCCAGTTGTGTTAAACTTGCTCAGTAAGTAAAAATTCTTTGCAGCACTACAACACAAATCGGTATACTTGTCTTTTTTCCAATTTACTGTTAGATATGTAAATTATTTTGATATTTGCATTATCGATGAAGCAACACAGTGTACCGAACCTTGGACATTATTACCCTTGAGATTTGGAGTAAATTCTCTGGTCCTGGTTGGTGACACACAACAATTACCCGCCACTATATTGTCAAAGGTATGATGGGATTATTGGAAAAGATTTTTGATTTTTTTTAACGAAAATAAATTCAATTTTTACTTTTCAGAAAGCGAATGAATTGGGTTTGGGTACCTCAATGTTCACCCGAATACAAAATTGTTTAGACAATATACCAAGCATTGCTAGCGGTGCCAATACCAATGGCTTCATAACGAAAGATCACATAATCTGTGGTCTACAGACCCAGTATCGCATGCATCCGGAAATATGTAAATGGCCCAATCAATATTTCTATCGCAATGAATTGATTAGTGATCGCAAAACTCAGGACTATAAATCACCGCTGATGCCGTTCTCGGTATTGAATTTGGCCTACACGCAAAATTCATCATGTTCGAATGGAAAAATTACCAACAATCTGGAAGCAGAATTTGTGGCGAAACTGTTAAAGGCTCTCGACGGTTTCATACCAAATAAATATAATAGTTATGGTGTAATAACACCATATGCACATCATCGGACAACATTGGAACATTCAATTAGGTATGTCGGAATAATAAGTTTTTTTAACAATTTTTTGTAACAATAATGTTTCGAAATTTTGGCAGATCCCTTGGCTTAACAAATATAATGGTGAATACCATTGATTCTTATCAGGGACTGGAAAAAGATGTCATTGTTATATCGAATGCCCGCACAAATGGTATTGGTTTCCTATCGAATCCTCAAAGACTTAATGTGGCCTTGACGCGTCCTAAAAAATGTCTAATTTTATGCGGAAATTTTAAAAATTTAGAGGTAAGTTGTATTATTTTTCTTAATTTTGTTTTTGAATGAGATTGCAGACAAAGGCATTACGATAATAAAATAATAAAATGTAATATAAGTTATTAAGGCAAACCTCACCTAAAATATGAGATCATTTTTCAAGTTTCTTATATCAAAACGAAATGCATTGTTAACAGTTAGAAGACCTAGAGTAGGCTGTGTTTAAAAAAGGTGAAAGGACCTTTGTTTGACACTCATGTTATCTGACATGATTTTTTATATTTTTTGACCGAAGAAATATTAACAACGGTTACACTTGTCAAAAAATAATTGTTGTCGTTTATTTTTTTATATTTAGGTTGTTCCGGCCTGGCGAAGTCTACTGCAAAGTGCTCGTGAACGTAATCTCTATTATGAAATTTCAACGAATTGTGTTAATGATATACACACAAATGTGATTGATAAAATAAGAATTAAAAAGGATATAAATTCAGAAAATAAAACCAAACCCAATAGCGATACAGTTTAGAACTGTATATACATATACTGTATAAGACTAATATACCTGTATTTTCTATCATATATGCAGTTTAAATGTACATACATACATACTATATATAAAAACAAACTTTTGAATTTACTATTATTATTTTTTTACATAAGTTTAGTATTACCTTCTTTATATGATTATCATAATTTGTTTTGTTATTGGTAAGAGTTGCATTCAATTTCTATTTTATTTCTTAATTGTGTATTTTTTAATTCATTAAAAACTACATATTGTCATTCTTTTAAAAAAAAAATATTGTTAGTATTATCAATAACAATAATGGTTTAACGATTTGTTTTTTCGTAATGAAAATGTAACATAAAATGTTTTTTTTATTTAAAAAAAAGTGATCTTAAATGGAATACTAAGGCATGTTTGTGGCGACGTTGTTCATTGACGAGGGAAGTTGTTTTCACGAGTCTTGGAAATATCATAAAATATATTTTTTTTTTAAATTCAAACCATAAAAAATATTTTTTTTACATAACATGATGTCCAAAAAAATACCTTTTTTGGGACGTCATGTAATTTTTTTAAAATATAGATAAAAATTTAATGCGTATATGGAAATATTTAATTTTTTAAATAAGAAGAAATAGTTTTTTTTTATCTACACTTTTGACACTTGAAAAGTATTTTTAAGAATATAAAAAAATATTTTTGAGTAGTAGGAGTCAATTGGTTAGTGTTGATGGAAGGTGTAGTGGTCTACTGGGGGTTCGTAGTGGTGTTCCCCAAGGATCTGTTCTAGGTCCTCTATTGTTTATAATCTACATAAACGACCTGTTTAAAAAATTGGAGAGTTGGTGTGTCCCGTTTGCCTTTGCTGATGATTTGCAGTTAGTATTTAAGGGGGATAGTCATTTTGTTACTGTGTTGCAGTCACAAATAGATTTAGTAATGGCGTTGTTGAGTGATTGGATGCGTAGTAATAGCCTTCTCGAAGTTCAGTGATGTTAGTGTTCTTGTTAGGTAAGCTGGTGCTATTATAGAGTATGTTGGGGAGTTTGAATATTTTATTTATTCCAAAAAATGCAATTTGAAGCCATTAAGGCCGATTTCATTTAAATTGCAAACTATACTACTCCATTTAACAAGATTTCTTAATGATATCTTAGAAGGTATTATTCTAAAAATAATAATATATTTCAATGTTTGGCAAGTGGCTAACTACTCAAGTAAGTGTATTAATATCACATATTCAATATTTAGTAATAAACAGCATTGTATAAAATATAAGAATTTAAATTTGTATATTATAAAAAAATATGACATACTTTAGTTTAGGTAGAAAAATTGAGAACTACTCCAAAAACATTAGTAAATAATATTATAATTTGTTTAGATATTTTAGACATAAAATCAATTTAAGCATACCCGATTTTCCATTTCGAAGGTATTGCGGAAAGGGTTCATTATAAATCATATTTATAGAGTACAGATAATTAAGTGGAACCGTAGTGGTCTATTATTTTTAATTTATATGTGCTGCTTGATAATGAAAATTGCTTTAGGGAATGCGGGAGCTTATTGAAAGTTCTGGCAATTCGTATGATTTATTCATTTGACCGATAGCTCTTGAAAATGATTTATTCATTTGACCGATAGCTCTTGGAACAATTAATTGGTTTGTTCTGTTCTTTGCTTGACTAAACGAACAGACTTATTTGTTTATGTAAACAAATATTTTTTGATTCAAAACAAAAATAAATGACATATTTTTCAAAACCAAGGAGTTTGGTCGTAAGTCAATCGAATTCGTTCGTTTAGAATTTTACAAAAACAGGCTGTTGTAGTAGAAAATCAGGACTTTGATTTTTAGTAGCATTATAAAACAGCATTAATGTTCTACAGTCTATAAATCTCCAAAAATGACAACCAAGAAATTGTTTAACTTTAGTGCTAACATGGTCAAATTTTTAAAGCGAAAAAAGATAACGAACAACTCTGTGAATCGATAGCTTAATCCTTTTCATATTTGTTTTGGTTGTGCCAGAGAATATTTCAATGCAGTACAGTATATGAGACATTATTAGTGAATGCACCAGTTGTAACTTTATATTGCGGGGTAGAATTAAATCCGTGTTATAAAGTTGTCGTAATGTTAAATGTGTATGGGTGACTACATTATCAATATGACTATCAAATGTTAGCTTATCGTCAATAATAATACCAAGGCATCTTATGCTACTGACGATGTTAATTATTTGACAGTTATAATTGAGTGATAAATTAGAGTGAGCACTACTAGGAAAAACTAAAGCATTTGTTTTTTTAGGGTTAACAATTAATCGGTTGGAATTCATCCATACATACAGCAGGTTCATAACACAGTTAAATTTAGCAAGAAGGACATCGGGGCTATCTATAGATGCTTTAAATAAAAGTTGTATGTCATCCGCATATGAGTAAGGAGTACAATAACAACGAATACTGCTAAATAAGTCGTTTAAAAACATAATAAAAAACATTGGGCCCAAGATAGAACCTTGAGGAACACCACTTTTTACAGGTAATACATCAGAGAGAATACCCTGCATGGAAACACATTGATATCTTTCATTTAAGTATGAATGAATCAATTTACAGGCGTTAGGGCTGAAATCATAGAAATTTATTAATTTTCCTATTAATATGCTATAATCAATTTTATCGAAGGCTTTCTCTAAGTCTAGAGATAGTAATATCGAAACATTCTGCTCACAAAGATTTCTTCTTATTGAGTCGGTTAGGCCTACCAGTAGCATCGACGTGCTTCGATGACTACGAAAGCCACATTGGCAATCATCAAGCATATTATTGTTCTCTAAATAATTATCAAGCTGTTTTTTTAAAACGTATTCCACTACTTTTGATAATACAGGAAGCAGAGCTATTGGTCTGTAATTTTCCCCAGTCGAGTCCTTCTTCCTGATTGGGTTAATTTTAGCTATTTTCCACTCTTTTGGAAACGATGAGGTCATGATGATGGTATTTGTGAAATGTAAGAAGTACGAAGAAATGTACGGGAAAATAATTTTAAAAAATTTTAGAGGGAGACCATCAATTCCTGGTGCATTTGATTTGACGGCTGAAAAAGCTAAATAAAGATCGGTGGATGAAATGCATTGAAATGAGAACCCGTCATTAGCAGTTAACATATCTAGGGTATTATCAATGTTAGTATCAACATCTAGCTGATTGCTAACAAAAGAAGTGTTTAAAGAATTGAGATCTTCTATGGTTAGCTGTTTTTCCCTAGTAGAATTTTTATCAATTAAACCATTTTTCCTAATTATACTCCAAAGATTTTTAGAACTAGTGCAGGTATTAAAAAGTGAAGCATGATAAAGCTGCTTGTGTTTCCTCTTAATGGACTTGGCTCGATTTCTTGCTTTGCAGTAAATTTGCCATTTTTGAGTACTTTTATCTAAAAGATAAGAACTATATGCCAAATCTGCAATAGACTGATGGTAACGAATAACGGGGGAATTTATCCATTTGTCTCTATTGAATGATTTTCTGAATATTTTCTTTGGAAATACTGAATGTAGCTGCCAAATTCCATACATCAGAATGTCTAATTGGGCATCAACATTCGTTGTATTGAACATATTCGAAAGATCCAACGAGGAGGCTACATAGTGCAAATCGCTCTCATTGACATTGTTGTAGTCGACGTATTCATGAGTATATTGTTCTCTGTTGACAGACAAATCCATTGAGATACAGATGAAGGCGTGCTTCGAAATATCCGGACATATAAACTGTCCACTACGTACCATGCGGTTAGGGTTTGAAGTTAAAAAATAGTCTATTAATGAAAATGATTGATGGGATGGATCGAAATGTGTTGGTCGCGAGTTATGCAGCACTGAGAGGCCCATTCTCAAGCATGACCGACGTATGTTATGAGCTTTTGTAACATCGAAGAGATTGTTGTTATTTTAGATAACAATCTTTCGTTTAGGCAACATATTAACCGGGTAGTGACAAGAAATAATTGGTCTTTAAGAGATCTCTTTATGGAACTGATTTATCTTTTCCACTTTTTGTCAAGGAACGGTTAGTAAGGGCTCTTGTCCTCCCTTCGATTATATATTGTTTTGAGATCTACTCAGGTACGACGCAATGCAACTTGAATTTGGTGCAACTGTCGTTGAACCGTGCTGTGCGCTACTTATATTGACTTAATCGTCTATCTCATATTTCGCCCTATGTGCACAAATTTCTGGACTATTCGTTTCAATCATTTTTAAATTGTCGGTTGTTGCTTTTGTTTTACAACTTAATTGTTTTTCAAAGTCCGCTTTTCCTAATAGGAACCTTTATGTTTTCACACTCTACTAGAAACAGTCAGTTGATAATACCGCGAATTGCTTATTTAATGGATTATTCATTCATTGTTAGAGTAGCTCGGCTGCGTGGAGTAGTTTTATCTTTGAAGGTAAAGTTAATTTTGTACGATGTATATTGTAATTCTGTTCGTTAATGGGCTTGATAGCCTTGGATTACATGTGAAATAAATGAAATAAATATAAAAAATGTTTTTTTTTTAATATATATAAAAATATTTTTGAAAAAAATTTACATTTTTTAAATAGATTTCCTTGACAAATATATATTTTTTCAATATAAAAAACTTTATTCCTCTTGCAGTCCTATTAAAAATCTATGCTTATGGCTCTTGGTGTCCTTTTAAAATCCACGTTTATGTTTCTTGGTATCGTTAGAAAGGTATTCTTAAAAAATGGCTTACGACTTTGTAATCTTATTTAAATCCATAATTTGTCCATATTGTCTTTTAATGTGTAGCTGGAACGTTCATCAATGTATAATAAGTGATTTCAATGACACCATATATAAAATGCGGTTATTAAAAGAAATCATGATCCGTTTTTTTTTTATTTCTAAAATTCATAACTTTCCTTCCGAAATAATTTTCTTATTCTAACTCCACTTTCAAAATTTGTTGTTGTTTTTTTAATTTCATAATTATTCTTATTGAACTGAATTTAGACAACAATTTTCCAACTTACCTGATTTTCGATTCGACTACGCACATATTTTCGAAACACATGAATCTACATTAACATAGATTTTATTTTGTTTTTTTTTTTCGTTTTTTCTTCATTATTTCTATAAAATTACACATGAGACATTGAAAGAAACAAATGAAAAAATATATCGATTTTTTTGCGGGGTACTGGATGTGCAAATACATGCATGTATGGAAAAGGATTTGGATTTGCACTTTTTTTTTCATAAATTTAACAATTCATTTGGTTATTTCCTCCATCTTTTTAACATTTTTTCATTTTATTTTTATTTTAAATTCAACCACATATAAGATATTAATATATATTTTTCTTATGTTTTTTTCGTCAGTTTTAATTTTCTAATAATTTTTTTTGTTTTCTTTTTGGTGTAATTTAAAGATACACGAAATGTGAAAGTAGTTCATTTATCATTTGGTTTTAAATTGAATTATTTATTTTATTTATATAAATTGAATAAAGTTATTACTTTTTCTGTATAGCTTAATTAATAAATTAAACTATATTGCACTTTAAACAAAAAAAAAAATAATAATAATAAGGAAGGAAATACAAAAGGAAAGGGGGCCGGAGTAGATTACGATGTTTGTAATAGGAATTTATTTTCTACACAATTTTCCCGATACATTTAATTGTATATTTCATTAAGGAGGGTTTGACTTATTGGTGTATTTGTTATCGTTATTTGGTGTCATAAAACAATCGTCTTGCCTAAGCAGCAGCGATTTCCAACTAATTGTTAAAACTTAAATATAAAATGATTAAGATTTTTTTCTTAGAACAAAAAATTCTGAATGTTTTTTTTATATAATTTTCGCTTTTATTTAATGGAATATTGAGTTTAGTTTTTTTTTTTTTTTTTGAAAACAACGTAAATGATTTTTTGTTTTTGGATTTAAATAAAAAGAGAAGACTTACTACCAACAAGGAAAAACTAATTTATTGACTACACCATATATTTCATAGTATATTTTTCAATATTGTAGTGCCACAAGTTAACAAGGCGTAAAATAACCCGTATGTTGCTATGTTTCAGGACGTATGATGTTTGTTACCTCACCTCAGAGCAAATTCTCATATTCGATTCTTCATATTCGGCAATATTACCAATGAGCTGTAGAATTCCATGAAGCCATGAAGACCAATTGTCACTGGTTCCATTTGGTCAATTATCTTCAACTTTCATTAAGCCACAATAACGAGAACTGAAGTTATCTACCGCTAAAATTCAGTTAGATGACATAAATGATAGTCTAACCAAGCAGAAAAATTCGATATTCCATATAATTGAGAGTTGTGGGTTTTTCTGTTTTAGAGTGATACAATGGTGAAGGTTTTTTAATACTTAAATATTTGTATTCGGTATGTCATCTGAACAATGATAAATTCCAGTAACACTCTTGTCGACACGTTAACCAAACGACGACAATAGAGATGCGTCAATACATCTGGAATGTAAGAGGCTGGTTTCCACACGCAACCTTCCAACCTTTAGCATCTTCTGTTTGTTTCCTTCAATTTGTAATATATTTTTTTAAATTAACGCCCCATTTCTTGGAAAAAGAATGACTAAATGATTTTGTAAAAAGTAGAATTATAAATGTAATCTTCTTTTCTTAAAGAACACAGGTGTTTATAGCGATCCGTTGCACCACTCTTCAAACTATCTATAATTGAAAACTCTGTAGAAAACGTCTAGACAAGGAATTACTTTAATCTTAATTAGATTTATAAGGAATATCACCTTTGGTGTAGATTATAAAAAAATGATTATCATAGTCTTCAAATAATAAAATTTTATGTGTAACAAATATTCTTATTAAAAAAACCAATAGATTTTTTTTCAGCATTTTCATTTGTTTTTGCTTTACATACAACTTATGTAATATTGATCGGTGTTGATTTGTTGATTGTAATAATAATCATAATATATGTATAAACGAAAATAAACTAAAACAATTATTCATCAGCGTACTTGGTAGTAGTAGTAACGTTATGTTTAAATTAAGGCTTAACTTACATTAGCTACAATCGAATAGAATTATGATTAAACTACTTACTATTGATAATTTAAACATAATTGCATTAGATTGACGCATCAGTCAATCATTGAAAGGGGCGAAGAGAAAGAGAGGTGGGGAACAAAGTAAGGAAGAACTAATAATAATAATAACAAAACTAGTATAAAGCAAATTCTTTGTGTTAAAATAAAGCTAAAGAGGAGAGGACAAAAAATACGCACACGAAAAACAAAAAATATTAAATTAATTTAAAGACATATAAAAAAAGAAGAGTTGAGACAAAACCTATTTTTTTTCTTTGTAACAAACATATTTGTATGTTATATTTAAAATTGAGTTTTTTCTCATTGTTTGTATTTGCTTTCATAGATGATAGGTTAACTTAATTTAGAGCATCGCCCAGTGTTTCCTTAAGTGATTCAAAGATTTGCAATTGTTGTTCCGGTTTAAGATTATAAATCTGTGAAAATGTGAAAAAACAATTGTTTTTATTTTCAAATTCCAAATATTTGGCATTGCATTTAGATCATACCTGTGTTAATAATTTAGCTGGCGATGGTGTTCTAATGAAACTGGAAATGTAAACATTTACAAAAGTGGCCATTAAAAATTGACAATCGAAACGATCCATAATGCCACCATGGCCAGGAATCATATCGCCAAAATCCTAGAGTGGAAGATAAATAAAATATGTTTAGGTATTAAAATCATTATTTAAATTTCCAATATAATAATAAATAAATTTCAATTTCCAATATTATAATAAATATTCAACAAACCTTAATTTTAAATGCCCTCTTAAAGCCAGAGGCAAAGAAACCACCAAATGGACCAATTATTGAACTGAACAGACTTAAGGATATTGAATGCCAAACGAAGGGTATCACACGAATCGATTTTCCAATGCCAAACTTTAAGGAAATAAAAAAACATATATTATTATAAATGTAATGATTTTGTTGACCGGAGGTATTTTTATATCCTCTATCAAGTATTCGTTAAATTAGATTCTACACTTTTTGAAATTGTGTATTAAGTAAAACAGATAAATTCACTTACCACACTCAAACTATATTCCTGGGGTGTAAACAAATAGCTTGGCTCACAACTCATCGACATGCTGCCCAACTCTTCGGAATAGACAATGGGACAAACGAAGTACTGATAATGACACAAAATATATGAGAATATTATGCCGAAAATAACTGTTGCAAAGCCACCACCAATAAAGCCCTCCCATGTCTTTTTCGGACTCAGCTTAATTAGTGGCGTCTTGCCGAAGAAGAAACCGAACATATAGGCCATAACATCGTTGCACACAATCATCGATACGGGTACAATAAACCAAATTAAGCCTGAAAAAAATATATATAGAAAAAGAAACAGTTATTGGTTTAAATAAAAAACAAGTAAAGAGGTGTCAGCCGGTGTTGTTAACTATGGTTTGCGGAGCTCTACGGACTTACTACATACTGGTTTAATTGTTCGCTTTATATAAGTATAATTTTTTACCAAATACATGACCATCTGTGGAGAGGTACCAGAAGTGGTTGCTCTATAAAAAAATAGGTTTGAATATTTGTGGGAAAGGTACCAGAAGGAGTGGATCGATGGATCCCATTTTCGGACTTGATTGACCAAGGTAAAAATATTATGATATGCAAAGTTTGGATCAAATCGGTCATTCCAGTCGTTTGATGTTGAATTAAAAAAATTTCAATATATTGACACTGTATGGGGGAGGTACTAGAAGGACTGGACCGATGGGTCCCATCTTCGGACTTGATCTATGATTGGTAAAAATATTATGATGTGCAAAGTTTGGATCAAATCGGACATTCCATTCGTTTGATATTGAATTAACAAATTGTTCAATATATTGACACTGTATGGGGAAGGTACTAGAATGTTGGGACCGATGGGTCCCATCTTCGGACTTGATGTAGGATTGGTAAAAATATTACGGTGTGTAACGTTTGGGTCAAATCTGGCGTTGTATTCGTTTGATATTGAATTAAAAAATTTTCAATATATTGACACTGTATGGGGAGGTACTAGAGTGGACCGATGGGTCCCATCTTCGGACTTGATCTAGAATTGTTAAAAATATTACGGTGTGTAACGTTTGGGTCAAATCTGGCATTGTATTCGTTTATTATTGAATTAAAATATGTTCAACATTTTGACACTTTGTTGGGGAGGTATCAGAAGGTGTGGACCCACGAGTTCCATCTTCATACATGATCTAGATTTGGTAAATGTATTACGAGGATTAACATTTCGACATTACATTCGCTAGGTATTGAATTAACAAATTTTGTAAATATTGTCACTTTATGCGGGAGGTTCTAGAACGAGAGGACCGATGGAACCAAACAACAAATGAACCGTCAAAAAAGTCAGTAAAAGTGCCTAAAACTTGGGTTTCATCATTTAACTCCTCTGTCAAGGTGTGAAAGCGTCTGCGAGACACCACAAATTTCTACAAAATTTAATACGATTCTCAATATGGAATATGAAGGTAAAGTAAAGGTTAATATAAAGAAGAGAAATCGTTTGCGGAAACAAGATGTTTGCTGATCTTATAAAACCCGTAAATGGCTTAGCTTAGATATATATATATTGTACACGTTGTTTCTTATTCCGTCGTCACAATCAGAATGACGCTTCTTTTTATTTTCACATCTTATCTTTTGTACATTTTATCTTTTGTAAATGATCTTAACTTATCTTTGTAATCTGTTACCGTGTGTATACAACTCTGTGTTAACAAGGATGTATTCAAACAATAGTTGTGTTCCAATATATTCTACTACATCTCGGCCAACCTGACAATCGTGACCGCCCCGGTCACACGGGTAGATTCGAAATAAGATAATAGTTAGTGTGCTTAACTTAAGGTACAATATACTTATGCTACTTAATCTTCTAATATGTACAATCTACTGATACTATATATACTACGGGCCAGAGCAACCCTGGGCCCCGTCGTTTGGATCGTTCGCTTTCCATAGCCGCATGTTGCATGCCTCTATTACTCCATCATATGGAATCTGGGTTATTTGGCAATTTTCTATATCTTTGACCACGTATCGGTCATTCGGCAATACTTTACTGACAGTGTATGGCCCTTTGAACTTCGGAATTAGCTTCTTGTTCACTCCTATCGTGGTGTCCACATTTTTAATGACTACAAAATCTCCAACGCTAAACGAGTTTACTCTATGACCTTTTTCTTCCGACTTCTTTTCATTATATTTTTGAGCTTTCGCGATGGTAGCTTCTGCTTTGGATCTGATATCCTTGATATCCCTCCCCGGGTCTAAACAGTTCTCTTCTAGGTATTCGGACAATTTATCCACTATTTCCCCTCTTTGGTTGACTCCGAACAGGATTCTACTTGGCGTATCACCCGTCGATCTATTAATTGTATTATTAAATGCGAATTCAATTTTACTGAGTTGCTTTACCCAATCAGCGTGGGCTACCGGTTCGCTGAGTTTTGCTAGCATTCCTACCAAAGTCCTGTTTACCCGTTCGACCTGCCCATTTGCTTGAGGTGAATGCACTGCTACCTTTACGTGATCCACATTCTTTTCTTCCAAAAATTCTTCGAATTCCTTTGAAGTGAAGCAACTTCCTCTGTCTGTTATGCATCTAACCGGCCTACTGTAATAATCAAAGTACTTCAACATGGCTGCTTTAACTTCCTTGGTGCTCGTCGTCAATACCGGGTAAAGTCTCACAAACTTCGTGAACGCATCTATTATGACTAAAATATGTTTTCTCTTTGATTGTAATGATGGTAATGGTCCCAGATGGTCCAGGTGAATTGTATGAAACGGCCTAGGTTCTTTCGGAATACTATGTAGGTTTCTAGCATTTGGCTTATGGGGTGCTGAGTACATGATACACTTTAAGCAAGTCTTCTTGTATCTATCTATCTTCTGTTTCATCTCCGGAAACCAGTAGTGATCCTTCATTTTTTGGTAGCATTTGTCTACCCCGAGATGACCTAATTTCTCGTGCATATTTCTGATCACTTCTGTTTCCATGTCCTTTGGAACGAAAAATCTCAAAACCTCATTTATTTTCCTGTATACTACCCCATTAACCATGTCATATCCATTCACTGTTCCTTGCTCTAGTTTCAACTTCAGGTCATTCACTTCTTTATCTCTTGCTTGTGCTGCACAAAGCTGAAAGTCTATATCTTCCACTCCTATTGTTGCTACTAATTTTTGCCTACCAGTCTGTTCCATCCTAGATAATGCGTCTACATGAGCCATCTTTGTTCCCGGCCTATACCCTATGGTATAATCGTAATTTTCCAATTCTAATGCCCATCTCGCTATCCGACTGTTCACGTTCCTTTTCGCCAGTGTTAGAGCTAATGAATTACAATCAGTCCTGATCTTGAATTTCATACCCTCCAAATAAGCTCTGAACCTTCTTAAAGAATAAATGATCGCCAGAGTTTCTAACTCGAAGCTATGGTATCTTGTTTCCGCATCTATCGTTTTCCTTGAAAAGTAAGCTACTGGGTAAAATTCACCATCGTCCTGCTTTTGCATCAATATTGCTCCGAAACCCATTGCACTAGCATCACAATGCAGTTCCGTTTCCCTATTCGGGCTATAAATTGCCAAAATTGGCTTTGATGTTAACCGTTGCTTCAGTATCTCGAATGCCTCTCTGCACTTGTCTGTAATTATATACTTGGCTCCATCCTTTGTCAACGCATACAATGGTTTCGCAATTAGAGAAAATCCCTGTACAAACTTCCGAAAATACGAGCATAAACCCAAGAACGCTTGCATTTCCTTTAAATTTTTTGGCATTGGATAGTTCCTGATTGCTTCTACATGTCCATCTGATGGTTCAATACCCTTCCTTGACGCCTTATATCCCAAATATTCAATTTCATTATAGGCGAACTTACACTTCTGTATTTTGAGTTTTAGTCCATATTCAGCTAACCTGTCCATTACTCTACCTAACAGCTTCGTGTGTTCCTCTAATGTTCGTGACCCTATAACAATATCGTCCATATAAATTACCATTTCATTGTTCCTTAAAAAGTCTTGAAAAATTCCGGAAATAAATCTCTGAAACACTGCTGGTCCGTTTTTTAACCCAAACGGTAACCTTAGGAATTCATATTGACCATTTGGTACTACAAATGATGTGTACTTGATTGAATCTTCTTCCAGCCTTACGTGGTAGAAACCCGACTTAAGGTCCATTATAGTGAACCATGACTTTCCCTCAAGATATTCCAAGCAATCTTCAATTAGTGGGAGGGGGTAATTATCCCGCACTATTATTTTGTTCAAGGCCCTTTAATCCACGCACATCCTAGTCTCTCCACTTTTCTTTTTCGTTAATACAATGGGCGATGCATAGGGTGAATTGCTTGGGCGTATGATTTTCTTTTCTAACAAGTCTGCTATAATCTTATTCACCACCTGTTTACCTGCAAAAGACAATATGTCGCGTTCCCTGACGTCACTAGAATTGAAGCCTTAAACTCAGATGCCTTTGGTTCTCCCTCGAGTTTCTCCAAATAATTTGTTCTAATAAAATTGCGCAATTTATTTCTATCCTGAATGCTCAGTTGCGGGTTCATGTCCCATTTTTCCTCAGTTTCCTCAGTGTTTTCATCATTCCTTTTCTCTTTCGTCCATAAGCCGCTGACTTTTCCCTTACTTCCATCCTCCTCCACTGTACCTACATTTTGGAAATTTTCCTCCCCTCCATTTCCCCTTTCTTCCCCATAGCTCGCCTCTTCTCGAGGGCTACCCCCCTTGTCCTCTTTTCCATAACCAATATTATTTAATTCATTTTTTTCATTTTTATTTATATTTTGCGGCCCAATTTTCCTTTTATTTTTCGGGTCGGTTTCCAAAAATAATTTTATACATTGATCCTCGGTTTCATTTTTTAATTCACCTGGGGCCGGGCCCCCTTTCCTTAAACATAAACTTATTCTAAAAATTTTTAAAAAATCGCGACCAAGCACCAAGGTACACGTGGCCGTCTTTGGCAAAATAATAAATTTCAATTTCTTTTCTAGTCCTCCGAATTGTAGGACTGCTGTCACCTGTCCGCATGTCTCCAGTCTTCTCCCATCTAACCCCTTATACTCCGAGATCCTCCTCTTTTCTGTCACTGTTTTTGGGCACACGGATTTGACTACCATCTCATTCATGAAGCTACATGGGCTACCGGTGTCAAGTAAAGAAGAAAACATGCGACTATTAGATCCATATATGTCAGGACCCAAGGCTACTCTTACCTGTACATTCCAGCACACTTCTCTTTCCTCCTGGGAAACCGCTGCTGCTGCTAACATTGGGCAATGAATCTTGAAGTGCCCCGCTTTTCCGCATTTGAAGCATGCTCCCATTGGTCGCCTTTCCTGCTTGCAACTCGTTGCATAATGGCCTAGCTTCTGGCAGTTGTAGCAACGAACTCCCTCGTATACCTGCTCCGCTTTATTTATTTTACTTTGCCTCTGGCTCCGCTCGTCCACCATCTTTTCATACTGGGGTATCAAATTTTTGAATTCCTTCATCGTAGTCACCCCGAAAAATATGGATGCTGCTACCGATTTGTCCCCCATTCCATCCAACACACACTCCACTAGCTCCTTCTCAGAGATTGCCGCCCCCTCTGCAATCTCCTGCATTTCCAACGCGTACCTGTGCAAGCCTTCGTTTGCCCTGTTCCATTTTCTAGCGTCCAGCCGGCGTAGGGTTTCTTTTATGCCTGTTGACTTATGAAACTCGTGTAACAATTCGTTTTGCAAACATGCCCAATTATCAGCTTCGGCTCGACGCAAGAAAATTGCCGCGCTACCAGTCATCATCCGGCGAGCACAGTTCATTATATTTGTCACTTTATTGAACTCCTTCAGCCATTTAGTGATGCTGTATTCATTGTCGCCCGAGAACTTTGGCAACGCCCCTTCTATATCAGCGAATGTGGCAACGTTTTTCTTTGTGCCTCTTGCTTCCTCCAATTCGCTGATCTCTTTCTTTAGTTTTAAAATTTTCAATTTTTTCAATAACCGCCGTTCTTCGGCGTCCTCTCCGCCATCTTCCATCGTTATTGTTTTTTCTTTTGTACTTTCGTCTATCGACTGTACTAGCGATGCATGGCCGTCTTCGTTTTGCTTGCTTGTTTGCAGCTGTGGCGTATGTGTGTGTGTTGGTTGCATTTCCACCACCTCCTCGTTTTGTTGTAACTGCTTCTGTGGCGGCGATGCTTCACTTGGCGACACCGAGCTTACTCCTATCACCTGCCGTAACAGCTCACGTAGCTGGGATGGAGTTGCGCTCTCTGGAAAATCTATTCCGGCTTCTCGCAGCTGCTCCATCAATGCCTCCCTTACCATTTCGGTGTATTTTCTTTTCCACAAATAATTTCAAATCTGTTACCGTGTGTATACAACTCTGTGTTAACAAGGATGTATTCAAACAATAGTTGTGTTCCAATATATTCTACTACAATATATATATATATATAGGGGAGAGGGGGGCACCTTTGAACAGCGCTCATAAAATCTTGGTTTAAAATTTTTTTGACCCGCAACCACATTTTTGTATATCGCAATCTTGTTCTCTATCTGCGTAAACCACTTTGGCTTGCGTTTTCAGTTGTCGACAAATTGTGCATGGGTGACCATGTTTTCGCAGTGTCATTGTAAACTTTTATTCATTTGGTTGTAAGGGGGCAGGAAGAATTCTGTGATAGTTTTCTTTCGTCAAACAAAGTTTTTGCATTCCAACAATCATTTTAAACATAACTAATCTAATTTCTTTCATATATATTTAGTACAAAAAAAGTTATTATAAATTTCCGAAAAATTCCATGGGTGGGGCACCTTTGAACAAGTCCATTAAACTCGAGTAAAAAACGGAGTTTTAAACATTTGGCTTCGATTTCTCAAAGTTTCAAATGGCCTAATAAGATTACGAAACTAACTGTATTTTTTACCATATTAATTTTTGTTTTTAAGTCATTTTATGTTTAAAAAATTTTAATCTAAAATTTTCAAATTTTGGACATTTTTTATATATTTTTTAATGAATAAATGCATTTCTGATATGTATGAATAAAATACATACATATTTGAACATAAACACTGTAAAAAACCATTTCTTTCAAAAATGTCAACCCCCTGGGGGCAGTTTTGAACACTTTGACTTCGTCCATTAAAACAGTAATAATCTTAAAGTATGTCATATGTATATTAAAAGATTAAGAGAATAACACTTGTTCGTTTGTCAGGATTTATTTTAATGGAACTTAAAACGTTTATTGATTTAATTCATATTACGAAAACATAAAATAATAAAGAAATGTTCGATGTGAAAACATAAAATAATTTAAAAACTAAATGAAATGGAATGCGCGTATGCGCTACGACGTCTAGGCAACAACTGCTCGCCAATCCGGGCTGCTGCTACGTCTTCTTCTTCTCTTCGTTAAAAATTAATTCGATTTTGCATAGTTGCAAATTATCGTACTCTTACAGTCGGCCATCCTGTCGATCAATCGTCCTCGATTGAAACTTCTTCTTTGAATCCGCTTTCACTATTGTCGTCATCGTTGGGTGGTAGG